AAGTTGAATCAAATTAAAATTAAATTAAAAATTAAATCAAATCTAACTATATTGATTTTGTTAGCTCACATTGCTAGTTTTGTAGTGAACAGTTCATCTGTGCATGTCATTAGGTACAACCAATTGTTTACCCTTGTAATCTTTGACTGAAATCTGAAAATGCACTTCCTGTTTGTTTTCAAGTCTAATTCTCAGATTAGATCTGTCTGAGATATTGGGCGTGGCTAAAATACTTAACCACACCCCTCCAAGCAGTGTAGCCAACTAAGTGACTTTTCAGACCCCCCGAGCAACAAATCTAGCGACTTTTGTGTGTTACAGGAGATTTTTATAGACTCTCGTGTGTCCATACTAAATCGTTCCTGCTCTTCTCAACAAGCTGTGGGTGCCGTCGACCCCTCCCCTAAGCACCGACAGTCGGCTCAGTCGTCGTACAGCAGTCTCTCCCAACTGCAGCCCGAGAGCAGATCACTCCTCTGCGTATCGACGGAAATGATTTAGCACTGCAAGTGTGAGGTATTTCCTCTATACAGTCAAACCAATCTGCTTCTCCTTTGTCTTGAGAGGAGGGTAGCAGTGGTGGAAAGAGTACTGAAATATCATACTTAAGTAAAAGTACCATTACTTGCCTAAAAATGTAGTGTAAAAGTATCCGCTGTGAAAAGCTGATGCGTTTACATGTAGTTTGTGGATGTGTGTAAACGCAACATTCTGTAGTGCAGGGTTTTTCAAAGTTTAAGACAGTGGGCCTCCCTTTTGACACAACTTATCCATTGGCGCCCCCCTCCTCCCAAACACGCACGCACGCACGCACGCACGCACGCACACACACACACACACACACACACACACACACACACACACACACACACACACACACACAAAAATTCTGGAGGTTTTACTGCTACCTCATCATGCTTGGTTTCAAGGTGTCGTCGAAGTTTAGCGGGTCTCATGCTGTCATTAGCCAAAATATCTTGACAAACCACACATAAAGGTCGTGGTTCATCAGCTGGTCCTGTCCACGTAAATCCTAAACTCAAATCCTGATCATCATATCGTCGTCTTTTGGGTTTAAGCCCTGAACTTGAAGGCTTTGAATCGGGGAGTCTCAGAAACCGATCCATTGTATTAGCAGGCATATACCAGTATTAGCAGGCTTGCCAAACAGAAGTGAATTCACAGCTATGGCCTTCTGGGTAAAAAAGGTTTTCTTATTTTTGACGTATTTTTATTTTTTTTTAACTTTGTTTAATTAAAACGTTTAAAAATAACAAAAAATACATATAATAATTAAACTTCATAATTATATTTTTATTATATAATATTTTTTCCCGCGCCTCCCCTGACATGCTCTGGCGCCCCCCAGGGGAGGCGCGCCTCACACTTTGAAAACCCCTGCTGTAGTGCATGTAGTTATTGGCCAGCAGGCACACAATGTCATAGGACGTAATATTAGGTTAGATTTAGGTTGTGATGTCAAGTGACAAAAATTCAATGTCTAGCCAGCGTCTAAGTATAACGTTATTTTAATGTCCAATAACAACGTTAAATGACGTTGATATTTGGTTAATTTTAGGTTGTGTTAGAAAGTGACCAAAATCCAATGTCGAGCCAACATCTTTAACCAACCTATTGACGTCAAATACTGATATTGATTTTGGACGTCTTCTTGGACACTTTTAATGCTTCCAAACAGTTTGCTGCATTTATAAATCGCCCATGTCTTGAGGTAGTTCATTAAGATGCAATTTACCTTCTATGTGTGATTTGATTGGACAGGAATTACAGGACTGATTTTGTTAACCTCCATAGACAAGAATAAAGTAGTAACAGCAGGTAGAAGAAAAGTAGTGGAGTAAAAGTACCGATACAGCACTAAAAATGTACTGAAGTAAGAATAAAAGTACACAATTTAAAAACTAGTCAGTAAATTACAATTCCTGAGAAACAGTAATTAATTACAGTAGTTTGAGTATTTGAAATTAGTTACTCTACACCACTGGTGGGTAGAGTATCCAAAATCCATACTCAAGAAAAAGAACAAGTACTAATGGAACTTTTTACTCAGGTAAAAGTAAAAATCGTAAAAGTTACTTGAGTAAGAGTAAAAAAGTACCTGATGAAAGAACTATTCAAACTATTCTTGTTGACATCTTGGAGTGAAAACAGACTGAACTTGAGGCTGCGGCTGGTGATCTGGTCCGATAAACTCACTGTACAGACAGCGTGACCATCCTTCTCAGACCCGCAGGTGGCCATGGTGTGACTGCAGTATAAACTCGCACGTCCTCGACTTCAGCCATCATCCCAACATAAACGAGCGCGCTCTAAGCGAAAGGGGGAGACGCGTCTCTATAGGGGAATAGGGTATATGCCGAAGCATGCAAATAGGACTTTTGATTTGCCAGTAACCTTGGTTAAGCGCATCCGGCGAACTATATGGCAATGCAAAAACTGCCGCGTTTAAGGTTTGTTTTCTTTAAAAATCTCCACTGGCTGAGTGATATCCGATATAAAGTGGGTCTCAGATTGTACAAGAAGCACTGCATTAAATTACATTTTCCCCCGGCATGTCTTTATAATATGAGCATTTATTTTACCCCAGTATATTGAATGGAGCTTCTGCGCTAGCCTGCCGATTCTGACGGGCGAGTGCGAGTAAGCGGCTTTTTGTCTTGTTTTACGGTTGAGCAACAAAATGAATGCCAAAGTTTATTTAACTGAATGTATTTTAATGACATTACAACATCGATGCTGTAAAAGAAAGCGTATTAAATGGAAAAAAGTTCTCAATAACAGGTCACCGGACATTTATCAGTATAGGAAAAACACTAGCTCGGCATATACCCTATTAACAACCTAAGTCACACATGACGTCACACGGGTTCAACCATGCATACTGGTTGCAAAAAAAGACAGCTTGCAATAGTAAACATATTGTGTTGTGCAATAAGATGCCAAATTCGATTAAATTTTGCTTTTAATGCCAACCGCACACGTCTTATGATGGCACACAGCCATCAAAAGAGCTGAATGGAGTGAAGACCTAGTCAAAAATGCTGCAGTTCTCATGTTATATCAGTTAAGTTCACGCTATGCTGAATCATACACATTACTCATTTTTGATCGCAGCAATGATTTCAGCAAACACAGTTAAATATGGTGAATTAAATTGCTGACGCTGAATGCTTAGAATGTAATGTAAACATGTAAGTTCACATACCCTGCCATACAGGTACAGTTCGCTGTCAGAATGGAGTTGCTTTGCTTGTTGATGATTACTCAGGCCTTGTACAGCTCCATCTTCTTCCCTTGTCTTTGGCTTGGCAGAACCTCGGTTTTTAGCATGACATAGTTTTGAATCTGGTCATCATGGAAGATTATTTCTTGCACATGACCACACAGAACAACATTGAAGGCATCCAAAGACTTGTAGGCCTTTAACTTCTCTCTTGTAAAATCACTTGGAGTTTCAATGAGATTGTTATATATTTCGGTCTGGATGCTTGGCCTTTTCGTCTTATCCAATATCATTTGGGAGGGTGCTAGCGCAAATGGACCTGCCAGATGAATGTTGCTCACTTTACCGCTAATTTTGCTGAAGAACTGTGCTTTTCACTGGGTGACAAGCTGTTATAATACGCTGAAAGCATTATGTAAATAAAATATATAATATGTAATCAATAAAACTTATCTTTAATACAACAACAAACTCTGTACCGTATCAGATGTCATTCCCTCGCTGTAAATTTTTCTGCAACCTTGCTGCGTGCATATTGAATGTTTACAAACTGGTAATTTGTCTGTAGCAATCTCTCGCAACCCAACCTCTCCAATACGGCGCCTCACGATATTTACAAACAAGTTATATATAAATCATATTTATTACTTAATTTGACATTTGACATTTTTAAACGTACTCAAAAAGTACACATCACCCAGCAATTTTACTCAAGTAAATGTAGCGAAGTAAATGTAATTCGTTACTACCCACCCCTGTTTGTCTTATATTTAACAATTTAAATTTAACAATTCTTTTCTTGTTCACAATCACAGCATTTCAGTGACAGTTTCGGAACTTGTCTGAGTTTATTACGTTTGAGAAATTATGCCAAATTCACTACACATCTGTACTGATATACTGTATTCAAACAGCAATAAATTTAGTTAAATTGACATGCGTATATAAAGCGTAGTGCAAAAATAAATACCCTTTTATTAACCATAGGCTGTAAAACAAACAGAAATGGTAGAACGTGATGACGTCAGTAATATGCAAATTGACGTATGACATAATTTAGCGACTTTGCATTGAAAATAGTTGGCAACACCGCCTCCAATTGTCAGTTTTAACAACAAACAGAATTGGTGAGGAGCAGGAGTCTGTTAGATTTTAATAACTCTCCCCAAACCCTTTATCCCCAAATCTTTCTGAATGAAATGCCTACTTTACTACATCCAATCAGCTTGCAGTAGAAAAAACAAGCCCCACCCACTGTATTCTCATTTAATCTGCTTGCTAAGTGGTGACGTATAAAATACAGTTTCTGGGTCTAAGCCGTTACTCAATTTAATTGAGAAAAAAATTGTTTATGACCACTTTTTAGTCATATCACACATTAAAGTGACTTTTATATCAAATCATAGTGTACATGACAGTCTCTAAACTTGCTGCATCTCAAATACCACATATGAACAACTGGCCATTGGATATTAGGCATGGTTATACATTGCAATCGTGATTTTCGAAAGTATTACATTGCTTCGTAAACATTTATTATAACCATTTGTTTAGCCTCCTCACACAGTTTGATAGAGTTGATTTGCGTGACGTCAGACTGAAAAGTGCACATTCCGTTTCTCAACGAACTGTCACAATACGAAAAAATAAATGGTCGCAGCTTTTGGTTCACTTGGACTTTAAAGTGAACGTGAATCTTTCCATCTAATAAGTTGTGGTTTTTTTTCCAGCTCATTTTTCTTGTTTTCATCCACAGAGAATGTTGTCCTCCATGTGAATCGAGAGCCGCGCTGAAAAGGCTGCGTTTTGGATGATTTCCGTATAATATGCCTGACTGAAGGGTCTCTACACCTGCCCTGCATTCAAACGCACCCATAAAACCAGGCGCAAGTCCAGTTCAAGCAGGAGGATCTGTCGTGCGGCGGCACAGATGAAGCACGCATGCACCGATTATTCCAACGCAATCTCATGGCAATTCGTAACATTTTGATTTTGTGGATAATTCGTATGAATTCGTACGATCTAATTCATACAATTTTGTACGATTTGCTCATCACCCAATGACAGTTGTCGCACATTTTCATACAACTGAACTTGTATGAATTTGTACGATTTAGCCACTAAACTGACAAAGCGTAAAATACTTACGTTTCCTCGTGAGATCAGGCTGGATTACTCCAGGGAATCAAACAGCAGATCGATGAGTGAAGCATATGGGATGCTTCGGTCAGTGAAGCATGTGGAGAAAAATGAAACAATTGAACAGTGTAGAGCATATAATAAAGAGAGACATGCTGGAAATAAAGATAAATACAGATGGAAAAAAGATGACATTAGAACTAATATTAGGCAATAGAATGTATAATAATAAAAATAAAAATTTTCAAAGACACAGGAAATTTAAGCAGAATATATATATTTTTTCTCTTTTCCTGTCTCGTTGTCACTCCACTCTCCAGCACAGTTGGTGGTAATGCGTCTAAAATTTGCAACCCAGGCTCATTGTGATTGCGTCTCCCTATTTACATTTCTGGAAAGAGTAAAATATATCCCTGGAGGTATGTTTTTTTTGGCAGTTTTTGTTTTCGCGAATCCACCAGAAGCCGATGTGTTCGCTTTTTCAGATCTAAAATTTCTCTCGCAAGTGCCATTCGCGTCTGCTGTTCCCACATAAATCCAACAGAGGCTGCAGTCGACTGACTGACAGAATGACTAATCGATCCCCCCACCTTCCTCTTTCCCCAAACCCAATCAATAGTGTTTTCTAAAGCACCGATTGACCCGCCCACCCCTAAACCCAACCGATAGTGTTTTCAAAAGCAATCCAGAAAAAGGAAAGCCCTTGGCTAATTTTACCATGCTTTCAGGTTTTACCCCTTTCTCACCTTGTTATTTACTTGTTTATATATTTTTTTGGCTTCTGTTCTTGTCTTATCTTGCTTTCTGGAACCGTTCTTCACCAGACTCGAACCACGTTGTCATGGTCAACTACTTTTTGCATCTCAAGTCCGCCAGCGTACATGTCGAGCTACTGGGCAAACGTAACAGTGGGAAAGCCGTCCTTATGAAGGTAAGCGGTCAGTTGGTAGCACGAAAATGATTTGCGTCATACTGACCCGTATCGTTCGTTTTAAAGATGAAATGCAGCCATACGTAGCTCTGGCTACATAATTCATGATCTCCAGAAATATATGTAGGGCTACTTTTTCAAAGTGAGCCTGTGTTGCAACGTTGGCTTGCCTATTGCCACTAAACATCAGAAAAAGAAGCATACAGGTTGCTGCTACTGGTAAAGAAAGTTTGAGTGAAAGAAGACAAACAGCACACTAGAAGTTAAGCCATGCGAAAAGAGGTGTGTTGTAAGAGTAAATGTTTCACCCCAGTCTATATTAAATCATTAAATATATCTACATTCTTATTTTGAACAATTTATCAGTTTGTACTGTTTTGAAATGCATCTAAATGTTTTCATTTTGTTAACTTCTATTTCTTTGTGCACAATTACAAAATAAGAGCCCTTCAAAGAAACTTACAGCTGTGTTTCTGGATTTAAAAAACTGACTGATTCCACAGGCCAGACTCACCTCAACTTGATAGCTCACCTTGTCGCTCTCTCTTTTCAGATATGTCTAAATTATAAAATAAAAGCACCCTAAATCCTCTGTATTATTATTCTTATTTATTATTACTTATTTACTGTCTGTCTGTCTACCATGTCTGTCTTTCTGCTTGTCTGTCTGTTTGAGCATCTGGGTGTGTTATATTTTACACCACAAACTGTTCAGTTTTTAGGAAAGATTATCGGCTATGTTAGCATATGAGATCAGTTTTATTACTAATTGCACTTTTAGGGTCCTGTCCAAGCTAACGTGCTGTGAAGAGATAAAGAAAAAGACCAAACATTTATGAACTTCTTCACGTGAATAACAAAAACAAATAAATACAGTTTCTATAGTAAATAATATAGGGTTTTTGAACTGTTCAATAAAGTACTGCAGGGCTGCCAACTTTTGGTTTTAGCTTGGAGTGAGAATTTTTGCCCTGCCTTTATGACTCAAACCACGCCCCCACAAAGCCACGCCCCCTTATATATATATATATATATATATATATATATATATATATATATATATATATATATATATATGGTAAATACTTTTTTCCCAGAGATGGGTTGCGGCTGGAAGGGAATCTGCTGTAAAACACATGCGCTATAGGGGAATTGATGAACTGATCTGGCTGTAGTGTAAGAGTGTGTGTGTAAACGTGACAGTTGGAGGTTCATTCCACTGTGGCGACCTCTGAAATAGAGACTAAGCTGAAGGAAAATTAATAAATTAAATTTTATTGCATTAGAATGAAATTCTATAGATAGTATTGTACACAAAAATAAGTTTTATAAAATCTTCTGTTGTGTGTTGTCTTAGACCAGACTCATATATACGGTCAATTGTGTGACTCTCACGCCAAATGCGTGAGAGTTGGCAACTCTGAGTACTGATCTATTTTGAATTTGAGCTAAACAAATTACTTTATACAATTTTGTAAAACTATAGGTTATATTAATGCACACCATTTAACTTTAGTAAAAACTACGTTTTTCACTATGTATTTCAGTATCAGTTCACTAGTCAATCCGACAGCATTCTGTAGCGTTAGCATTAGCATAGGTCTTTCCTGAACTTCCTGTCCAGTTCCGACTTTGTTCATTGTATCACTGAAGAAAGTTTTTGTAACACATGTATGAATGTGAATTGTGTTTAAACTCCAAAATAAAACAAAAAGTTATTCAAAGGTAAATAATGAGTGTGTGCTCTTAATTTAAATAAGGGATTCATAAACAACTAAATCCAAGGAAGTTAAAAATAGCAAGTGAAAAAAATAAAAAGCCTTTATTAACATAGTAAATAGGCTTTTTATTGTTTTAATTACTTTTCCAAATACCTTACGGAAAAGACTTACGATTTTGTTGTAAAATGTGTTCAGTTTGTGTCTGACGCGGATAAGGTGATAAATAAACCCGAGCAGTTCTTCTCCTGAACAGCAGGTGGCGACCGTCGCACTCTTTCTCTCAATTACGCCGCTTCAGTCCTGAAACTTCAGTCAGCCGCATTGTGAAAATGTTTCAACACTTTCTGGTAATTATTGCAACATTTCTGCCTTGTTTAATATTAATATTGTGATTTATAAATGATTCTCAAAGCATTGGAGTTGGTTCGACTTCAAAAGTTACTGTTTATGCCGAGTTTTGAGGTAACGTTAGGAGAAGTGAAAGCGGGAGTCATGAGGAGTTTGGCGTTTTGCACGTCTACAAACAAAGTGAAAATCTGAACATGAGATACAACTGTGAATATGATTATTAATGACGTTTAGTGCTTTATATAGGACTGTTGACAGATGTTCTTCTGGTTTAGAGAGTTTTTTGTTTATTAAAGGCTTGTACATTGTATACTTTACGCTTCTTTCTGCCCACATATGTAAACATACTGAGGTATGGTAAAGTTTGACTTATATTCGCACATTTGGACTTTCACCTTCCAAATATAATTACAGAAAAGTAATCTTTGGAAATTTTGAATAGGGGAATCATATTAGCAGCCATTAACATTCTTTACAGTCAGTTAAATTGTGTTAATTTCATGTGACTTCAGACCCAACTTTCATTCAAATGAACGAATGTGCGATTACAAAACCAACTTTAGCCCAATGCAAACAGCACATTTGGACTTTGAAATGTTTGCAATTGAAATGCTCATTTAAGTAGCCTAATGATTATAAATCAATTTCATACAAACGCTAAAAAACACTACAAACTGCTGATTTGAAAACAATTGTAATAAAAACTGAACAATGAAGTGAGTAGAGATTCCTTTGGGATTTGCAGATACATACATTTGATCTAATGACAGAAATTGTATGTAAAATAGTCCTTAAATATATTATGTGAGCCTAAAAAATTCATACTTCATTCATACTTTTACAATTTGACACATGCAAACCACTGCGGAAATGTGCTAACCAGCAGGCCCATGTCATATACAGTATAGATACTTGATAAATAACCGACTATAAATTAAAATAATTAACGTATGCTGGGTTTTTTGTTTTTACAAGCTTTAGAGACATAACTTAAATTCTGCTTTTAAATAATAGGTCACCTATAGCTTTCGCCATGAGGCTGTGTTCAAAATGAAATCAATGTTTTCAAAGTGCACTGCGAAGGGAGCACAATTGTAAACATGAAGATCGCTAAAACTGAACTGTAAAAATACTTTGAAAGCAAATTACACCTAGGAGAGATGACTTTAATGCGTTTTTTTTATTTTTAATCATTCCAAGTTTAAATGTTAGAATATTCTAAACGGATAGAGCATAGGGGGGATAACTGGGAATAGAACACAGCCAACACAGTTTTTTTAATCTAGACATTAATGTTGTTTGAGTCATTTTGTTTTACAGTATTTCTAAGTATTTTTTTATTCTCCATCAGACCCTTCAGCAGGTTTCCAGAAGGCAGATCTCCAGCACCGTCCGCAGGCACATGGCCAACAAGGTACCCGACAAACAGAAGCTGTTTCAGGTATGTCTTCACTCTTATGTGATTAAATTATAGTCCCTTAAAGGCCCAATCCCAGAATTTTTACAACAAACAAGCTTACGTTTCAACACAATCATAACATCGGTCGTGTTTAACGTCATGCTTTTTATTAAAAACCGCTAAATTTGGCTACCTATAATCCCTAATAATAACTCCTGTTTAGCAGGGTCCCCGCGGGATTTTAAAAAGTCTTAAATGAAAAAATCGAAATTTATGGCTTTAAAAAGTCTTAAATTTGCTGTTCTAGGTTTTAAATATTTTTGCACAGGTCTTATTTTTGCGATGTCCATGTAACGCTACATCTAATGCTCATTTAAATTATTTTTGTTGTTGTTGCTAGGTTTTTGGGGTGTTGTAGTTCTTTATTACTTTATTCAGTAATTTGCGGTATTACAACTACAAAAAGGTCAACTTGCAATAGCCAATCAGCTTTCTGATATTAAACTCAGTGCAAGCGAAGAATCTAACATCATCGCTGTGTTTGCGGAAGTTCGCTTTGAGTGCGCGCGACTTGATTTCGGCTGGCAGAGTATGCCGTTATTTCACTGACAAATGTCGCAAGCGCAGTTTTATAAGTCGGGAGCGCTGTAATACGAGAGAGCGAATCTCTACTTACACGCCGATTTCCATTGTTCATAGACAAAACTGCTAGCGAGCTCTCAAAACACTGGCTGCTCACATGCGAATGATCTGCTCTCGCTCCGTCTGACTCCTTTCGTGCTTTTGCTCTCCAGAGATGCTTCAGCATACTGTGTAGTATTAAGAATAGTGAACTGTTAAAATGAAATGCAGTGTAGTTTTACTACAGTAAAGTGTGTTGAATTGTAGAAAAATATACCCTATTTTGTAATAAAAAACTAAAGCACTGGGTAGTTTGTTTTTAATACGCTTGTTGTGTTACCATAGCAACTATAGTATTACCACAACAGAGTAATTGAAGTACTTCACTGTACTTTACAAAACACTGTACAGCAGACACTAGTTCACTTTATTTTAGTGATAAAATAGGATTGATAGTGGGATTTATTTGAAGAGTGAATAGTACAGTAGGCTATAATACCTAATCAAGTTTTTACCTATTTTCTTTCACAGTTACATTTCTGCTTGCCAGAATGACCAATAATTATTGGCTAGAAATTGCAACAGCCATGGGAAAGGAGGAAAGTTTTTGTAAAACTCTGGAAAAACCTGAGGGATAAGTTTGTTAAAACAACCAAAAAGAGGCCCCTAAAAACATCTTCAATGATAATGATTATCTTTTTATTCGTCTGATTTTACTTTCTGTTTTTTTGGACCGCTCCCTGTCATTTAAAAAAAAAAAAAATCTCAATGGTGAACGTGCCAATATGCATACAAATATATATAAAAGCCTTAATCCGTTTCGTGAGTTGTGCGATGCGGTGCCAGGTGAAAGTATAAATCTGCATTAAGATGTTTGTTTTTTCTGTAGTTCAATGGTGCATTTAACCTGACTTTACTACTTTTCAATTTAAATAACTTTATTTTACCCCTAATTTTGTGCTTTTACATTTTCTCTCGCATGTTTTTGATATTGCGATATAGGTCTTAAACTTAATACTTAATGGTCTTTAAAAGGTCTTAAATATGACATTGATATCTGCAGAGACCCTGTTTAGTAGTCCCGCAACATACGTTCACATCTGTCGCTCGAGGACACTCGAATACCCTGTCAGAAAAGTCAACTGGCTGGGAATGAGCTTTTTACAGTGTCTGCTATAACGTTAATGTTGTTTTTGGTGTGTTTATATAGATGAATTTGACCATGGTGTAAATGCACAGTACAGACAAAAGCTAATTGCCACATTATATTGTTATAATAACATGATATTGTTGCCTTCAGTGATTTTCTGAGGATAAATACCAAAAAATAACACAGCTGGAATAACTACAACAGTCACCATTGTCGATCTCATTAGATGCAAGAGCTTGCAATGACATCTGGTGATGTCTGCAGGTGTTGTAGTGCTGTCCCATTTCTTAGGGGTAAATTTTGAGGTACAAAAATAGAATTAGGATTTAGCCAAAGTCTCTCAAAAGTGCAAAAT